GCTGTCCAAACAGTTCAAGATGACAGACATGGGCGCTCTGGGCCTGTTCCTTGGAGTGGAGATCACCAGGGACCGCCCCAACCATTGCCTGTGGCTCTCTCAGAAGCATTACCTCGAGAAGGTACTTGCCAGCTTTGGCATGGACAGCTGCAAACCTGTCAGTACACCAATGGAGACCTCCACCCGCTTGACCAAAGCTATGGAGCCCCAAACTGATGGGGAGAGGGCTCAGATGATGAGCACGCCCTACCGGAGTGCTGTTGGCAGCCTGATCTATGGCATGCTGGGCACTAGGCTTGATCTGGCAGCCTCTGTGGGCAGTGTCAGCCAGTTTATGGCCAACCCTGGTCCTGGACACTGGCAAGCTGTCAAGCGCATTCTACGCTATGTACAGTGCCTCACAAAACCGTTCAAATGTTTATATGATTTGGGTTCTGGCCACTACTATGTCTTCTACATTGTTGCCATGGCTTTGCACGCTATATAAATGTTGTAGAACTATCTTTTGGCTTTCCAACGCCGTCCATGTGACCACATTTGACTCAGGGATTGTTGAGTTATGTCATTTTTAGTACTGGGTGGTCATTTGAACAGTTTTGTGGCTGAGCTGTCAGAAATGACATCACCCTTATATCAGGTTCAATTGACATCATGGCAATGATGTAATAATTCCGTCACATTTATGACATCAGTGGCTTCAGGTTTTGCTATATAAGTAGGGGTCTAGCTCTTTTGGTGAGCCCTTCAGCAGTCATGCGTTATACCCCTCCCTCCCAAGTCAACAACGCCACCACCCAGCTCCGTGCTGGTGCCACAGTCCGCACTGTAGCCTCCTCTCTGGGCCTCAGCATTGGCACAGTCTCTAAGATTTGTCAACAACACAGTTCTGACACCATCAAGTCTTCTGGCGGCCGACCCAGGAAGCTCACCCCTCGCAACGTTCACCATGCTGTGCGCCTACTCACTTCCGGCACCGCCGATACCGCTACCGCAATCACCAGGAGCCTCAGCAACATCACCAATCAGCCCCTTTTACCTGAAACCGTCCGCCATGCGCTCAAGGAGACCGGGCTGAAGGCTGTCAAGAAGGTGAAGCGGCCCCTCCTTCAAGCTCGACACCACAAGCTACGCCTCGAGTGGGCCCATGCCCACAAGACTTGGACTCTGGAGGATTGGAAGAGGGTTGTGTGGTCAGATGAGACCAAGATCAACCGCCTGGGCTCTGATAAGTGCCGCTGGGTGTGGAAGAAGGGCGCAGAGGGGCTGTCGGATTGCCTGGTGGATGGCACTGTCAAATTTGGAGGTGGCAATCTGATGATGTGGGGTGGCATGCTGTGGAAGGGAGTTGGCTATGCAACCAGGATTGATGGAAGGATGGATGGAGGGCTGTATTGCAAGATCCTGAGGGATGAATTGATGGATAGCTTGGAATATTATGGTTTGGACACTGATGGGGTTGAGTTTCAGCAGGACAGTGACCCTAAGCACAACAGCAGGGTTGCAAGGGAAACAATGGCAGACCTGGGCCTAACTGTAATGGAATGCCCCCACAGTCTCCTGACTTGAACCCCATTGAACATCTATGGAGTCACCTCAAGAAACGGCTTGCTGGATATGGGGAGCCGCCCGCCTCCATTCATGAGCTCTGGGAGTGTACAGAGAAGGAATGGAATGAGATAGAGCCTGCAGTCTGTCAAAACCTGATAGAGAGTATGCCTAGGGGAGTGGAGGCAGTCCTTAAAGCCAAGGGGGGCATAACTAAGTACTAGTTTTAATTTATTCTGGTGCCTGCCACAAAACTGTTCAAATGGAAAGCTCAGATGTTTTCGGGTCTCCTGAGATGACCAATGACTCAAAAAGGGTTACCCCTGCGGCGTGTGAAAGCTTAAAAGGAGCGCAAAAACATTGTATAATGCTCCTGGGGGTGTCTCCCTACAGACAGACAGGATACAGGCAGGGAAAGTCAAACTTGGCAAACATTTGAACAGTTTTGTGAGGCAATGTATCAGGCACTCTGGACACTGCTCTTGAGCTGGGAGGACGCTCCAGCACTGCCCCAAACCTGAAGGGATACTCTGACTCTGACTGGGCTGGCTGCCCAGACTCCAGGCGCTCCACCACTGGCTTTGTCTTCAAGTTTGGAGGCTCTGTAGCCTGGCAGAGCAAGCGCCAGCCCACTGTGGCTCTGTCTAGCACTGAGGCAGAGTACATGGCGCTCACTCAGGCTTGCAAAGAAGCCATCTGGCTCAGACAGCTCCTGACTGAGCTAGGCTATCCCCAGGGATCGCCCTGCAAGATCTATGAAGACAACCAGGGCTGCATTGCGCTTGCCAGGAACCCTACAAGCCATGCCAGGACCAAGCACATCGACATCAAGCACCACTTCATTCGCGAGGCTATTGCCAATGACCATGTGGACTTAGAATACTGCCCCACCAATGACATGGCAGCCGATCTGCTCACCAAGCCGCTGCCCAGCCCCCAGTTTGCCAAACTGTGTGAGATGCTGGGCCTGGGCATCAAGTCTGTTGTCTGAGTGGGAGTGTTGGAGTCTGTATCTGTACCTGTAGTTGGTGGAGTCTGTATCTCTCTCAGCAGGCGCCTGAACTCCAGATTGTGGGCGGCGCTGAATAGCTGGCGGCGTGCGGCATCCAACAAGCCTTGATTGAGCTAGATTGAGCCACAGCTGATTGAGCTATGACTAGAAGCATCCATGGACTATTCAGAGCAGATGGATTGCTCACTCTGTGCCTGACTCTGCACTGCTCCCTCAAACAGCAGGCTCATCCCCACTCTGGATCTTACTCCATGTCCTCTTACAGGGCCAGACTCCTATATAAGGCTAGTCATCCCAACCCCCTTCCTTTAAAAAATAAGTCAATTCTACACACGATCAACACACCGCAGAGCTTCCTGATCATACCTATTCAACACGATCAACACACCGCAGAGCTTCCTGATCATACCTATTCAACACATCTTCCTCATCATCATTGGAGGAGGAGAGCAAAAGCGACAGCCAAGGGCTAACCTCGTCGTTGGACCGCGATACGAACAAGGCGTTCAGAGATCTGTTTGAAATGCAGACAAGCCCTCATCGGTCAACAAAATCTGCTGCCACCACAAAAAAGACAAAAGTTGCAGCAGAAAAGGAGTCATCCGAATTGCCTTCTGACGAGGACAAGGACGACAACGGCAAATCTGAGGAAACACCTACGACAACGGAAACAGAGACCAAAACCACCGAGTCAGAGGAATCGACATGCACCTGGCACGGAAGAAGGAGGCCAAGAGTCTCGGCATCTTTCCTAAAAGAGCTGCAACAAGCGATACTAAAGTACGACGGTACCCGTAGCCTACAAAAACTCCACAACTTCATTGACAAGGTTAACGTCTACATTTGAGCCAAGCCAGACGTCACAGACGAGGAGATTATCAACCTTGTCAAACTCAAGCTCAAAGGCGCAGCGGCCACGTGGTGGCGCAGTGCACGAAACAAGGTCGCTCCTGGACACAAACGACGCCTGAAGTATTGGACATGGCGAGATGTCCGACGTGGCTTGCAGAAGACCTTTGCGCCCGAAGAGGACGCGCTAGCAATGTGTAAGCGGCTTCAGGTCCTCAAACAAACTGGCAGGAGCCAAACCTTCTAGAGTTGCGGTACCGGGCCGGGAGGAGCCACACAGGCGCTGCTCAAGCTACAGGCTCGTTCACCCACGGGGCGCCCCGTGGGCGGGCATTACCATTGCCCGGTTTGCTTGAGGCAGCCAAGCTTGGAGTCTTTTTATGGCTTGCAGTGAGACCCTCACGCACGGCTTGACTACAGGTCAAGCCCCGTCGGCACAATGGGTGCCAAGGCTTTACGCGGCCAACCGCCGAGACCCACCGGTTGTCTCGGGCCGATTGCCTAAGCCCTGGAGTTCGCGAGCAACCCTCAGCAGCCCTCCATTGCCCCACCTAAGGTAGCTCCGGACCTTGCGGCAGTCCCTCGCAGGCGGCTGTCCTCCTCGGGCCCTCCCCCACCGTGGGTACTCCCTGCGGTCCAGGGGCCCATGGGCATCTGGGAGTCCTCCCCCGTGGGATCCGCGCGGATACGCTTGAGGACTACCAGGTTCGGTGCATTGCGGCATGCAACGGGCGGTTTCCGCGCCGTGTCGTCAAGGAGCGTTTCGTTCCTTGGGTGTTCCTTGAGGCGGCGCCGGGTTCCGTACCAAACCCTTGTGCGGAAGTCAAATGACTGAAATGTGGCAGTGCTGGAGCTTTCCCTCCCGCAGGGCCATTGCTGCAGCGTGAGGCGGCGTCTGGAATAGCCGTCCCCTTGGCAAGGGCTGCACGGCTGCGATGCACCGCAGCGTTGGGATGGTGTGATGCGGTGCTTGTGGCAGCTGTCCCTTCGTGGCGCAGGCTCCACTGCCGCCTGCAGCTGGGGAGTACTTAAAACGGGCGCCCCCCGCGATGCCCCCCTCTCTTCCTTACTCCGCCGTTCTCCTTGCGAGACAACCCCATGGTCTGTAGAGCTCAACTGACTCATTACTGCACCCAAACTCTACTCGGCACTCAACATGCCCTCAGCCGCCTTTTCTGTTACGGCTGTGCCAAACCATTTGTTGAACGTCATTATTCACGTGGATGACAGTTTTGTGCTGGAGATGGAGCACCATGGCGGCATTGTCTGTGGTAAGGTCAGCTTGCCGCGTTGTGTTGCGTTCTTGATTGTTAATGCAGCAGGAGACGTAACAGCCGACGACAACAATCTGACCGAAGCTAGTACTCGTACGGCGGTCACGCGTCAATACCGGATCCCTCCGCAAACGGCAGTGACGCGCCGTTGCCTGGGCGCGGTTCTGATTATGGAAGAGACGGATTTGCATGGGAAGACGCCTGAGCCTGGCCTGGCTGGCCCTACGTTGCGGGGACGCCGGGGGCTTCTCCTTCAGGAGGAGCACGAAGTTAAGCGTGCCTCCTTGTGGGGTATGCGCATTGGGGTGTATTGACCCGTGGAGCAACTGGCGCAAAGGTAGCGCGCTCGGTTATGGACCGAGAGGGTACAGGTTCGACTCCTGTGTCGCAAAAACTCCACAGTAGTAAAGGAAGTCGTCGGAAGAAGTCATTGCATATCCTCTCTGTCTAACTGAAATGATTGCAGTTTCCCAGTAATAAACCCATCCATGCGCTGTATATTCTGTCTACATAATTTTGTGTGTTTGCGTACCACGGCGGGCTGGTCGGCTTGGCCGACATGTCCTCTCTCTCTCCGGTAGTGCCCGCCATGCTGCCAGAACATCCGTCCCAAGGAGTTCTTCCTCATCCCGCCAGGTACCGTCTGCCTCGGCGTAGCCCAGCCACTTGATGAAGTACTTGCGGTGGCCGCCTTTCGTTGTCCGCTGCTGTAGTATCTTCTCGAGTTAGTATTCGACAGTGCCGTCCTCAAACTCCAGTGGCGGTGGTGGAGCATCATCGTCCCGTAGTATACATGCGCTGGGTTCTACGTACGGTCGCAGTACGTCGACATGGAACACGGGGTAGAGCTTCTCATGGATCAATGATAGATGCAGGTTGTAGGTGTTTGGGTGCGGGCCCTTTCCCTTGATGACAAACGGTCCAAGCCAGGCCGGCGCCAGTTTACTTGGCTTTGCCTGTAAATACGGCGCGTCGATCCCCTCCCAACTGAGGAGGATGCGTTGTCCCACTTCTAGCAAGAGGGCGGACTTGTGCCTGTTGTGCTGGCGCGCCTGCTTCTCCTGCTGCGTGCGGATGCGTTCCTGGATCACCTTGGCCAGGTGTCTGTGTCCGCGGACTATTGCGGCATGGTCTTCTGCCATGGGTAAACTCATGCGTTGTTTGTCCTCCGGCTCTGTCATGGTGGGGTGGAAGGGGTTGCTCCCATGCTTGATCTCGAATGGGGACATTGGTTTGCCGTCGGGGTTGGGTACTGGTTGAGGTGGCAAGTTCCACAGGAACTCTGTCATTGAGAGGAGGTCGACCCAGTTTCGGCCGGTCGGCAAAAGGTAGTTCTTGACAATATTCTTGACCGTCTTGACCTGGTTCTCGCACTTCCCATTGGTCTGTTGGTGTCGTGACGTGCTGGGTCGGTGTTCCGTGTTGCCGTGGCGGAAGAACATCTGGAAAGTGTCCGCAAGGGCGCGGGGTTCCCTGTCACTAACGACGACTGTCTGGTTACCAAACGGGTGGTGGATCTCTCACTCCCACAGATACGCGAGTCCCTTGGCTGACAGCTCCTGGGTGGTCGGGACAAGGACTACCCGCAAGCTCAGGTAATCGACCGTGCAGAGAACGCCGTCGTAAAAGTATTCGTGTTCCTCTCCTCCCCACGACGTCGTTCTCGGCATCGCGAACAGGTCAAAACTGACGGTGTGCCAGCATGCGCCAGGTACGGGCAGGGAGCGCAGTAGGCTGTGGGCATGCTGATTCGGCCGGGACTTGAACTTTCGGCAGGCGTCACAAGAGCAGACATATGCACGCACATCGCGCGCCATCTTCGGCCAAAAGACTGTGCGCTGCAGCTTGGCGAGAGTGCGGTAGAAGCCCATGTGACCGCCAGAGAGGAGTATGTCGTGATACTCATACAAAACGGCCGCGCACAATGGTTCCAGCACGTAAGCAGCCGTTCCGCAGCGGAGAACACCCTGATCCAGGCGGAACGGGCGTAATTCCATCGGGAGCGTGTCGGAATGGAGCGTTCTGAGGCATTTCGTGATGGAACGCGCGTAGGCGTTGGTGTCCTGATGTGTCAGCCAGGCCGCGGAGCCGACAATGGGACAACGCGAACGCGCTGCCGACGTGGGTGCGTCTGGAAGCGGGTCAGTTGGGCGTTCCGTCGTCACAGCGGTAATGGCAAAGCGTTGAAGACATTCGGCGCATTTAGGATAGTAGTCCGGGTTCCGGGATAGGACGTTGGCATCTTCGTTCCATTCACCCTCAATGTACTCGATGGTCATCTTGTAGCCCTGCAGCTCTTCTACCCAGTTGGCTTGACGCTTGCTGAGGGTTTGTTGAGTCTGCAAGTGGATGAGCAACTTGTGGTCGGTCAGGCATCGGAAAGGGCAAGTGCTGTGTTCAAGGTAATGGCGGTTGTTCCGGATGCATTTGACCAGTGCTAGCAACTCCTGTTCGTGGACGGGGTAGCGGGTCTCCGCGCTGCTCATTTGGTGTGAGAAGAAGGCGATAGGGCATAGCTTGGGTAGATTGCGCTTTGCCGTGACGGTGGACGGCAGCGGTGACGGGTACTCGTTGTCCTCTTCCGCAGCCTGGGCAATCCACCTGCCAATCTCATAGCCGGAGGCATCCGTGAATACATACACATCCTTGTCGGGGTTGAATGGTGCGAGGACGGGTGCGGAGGTCACTGCGCCCTTAAGTTCGTCGAAGGCGGCCTGCTCCCGCGCGCTACAGATCCAGTCCTTGGCGCCCGACTGGAGCTCAGTGAGCGGGAAGGCGATGTCGGCGTATTTATCAATGAAATGAGAGAGATAGCTCGTCATGCCGAGAAAGGACTGGATGTCCTTGTGGTGGCGTGGCGTGGGCCAGTTTGTGATGGCCTTGACTTTGGACGACGCGATGCTGGAACCGTGGCGGCCTAGGAGATGGCCGCAGAACTCCACTTCCTTGCCAACGAAGTGGCATTTGGCGAGCTTTAAATGAAGCTGGTTGTCGGCGAGGATTCGGAAGACTCGTGTTACGTTGGCGACATGGTCTTCCTCGGTCTTGGAGTAGATGAGGATGTCGTCAAGGTAGGACACAACGCAGACATCGTATAGCGAACCGAGCAGCTTGTTGGTTAGACGTTGGAAACACGCAGGCGCGTTGGTGAGGCCGAATGGCATCACTAAGTACTTGAAATGGCCAAAACGGGTGCGGATGGCGGTCTTTTCTATGTCCTTGACGGCAACGCAGATGCAGTGGTATGCGTCGCGTATGTCGACCAAGGTAAAAAACCTGGCCCCCGTTGTCTTGTCTGCCAGTTCGCGCAAGGGCGGCAGCGGGGTTCGGTCCTTTTTTGTCAGCGTGTTCAAACCTTGGTAACCAATGCAACAGCGCAGCGAGCCATCCTTTTTCTTGGCAACCAGGATGGGCGCACCCCATGGGCTGGTTGAGTGACGGATGAAGCCTTTCTGCAGTAAGTCATTTATGGTCTGCCGGAGCGTATCCAAGTTGTCAGGACTGAGATGGCATAACGGGAGGTAGACCGGCTGCATCTGATCCTCATCCAGCAGGTTAACGCAGAAGTTATCTTTGCCGTGGTCCGGTGGCAGCAAATCTGTGGTCCGGAAAAGCGTTGACATCAGGGAGCGCACCAGGGGTCGCAGGAGCGGTGGCATTGCTTCAGTCGGGTCGTCCTCCACTGCGGTCGGTGCCTCCTGTCTCCCTTGGGGATCCTGCGGTGTTGCACCGCAGCGGGCCGGCTTGTCCGGTTGCCGTGCGCGTCGCTTCGGAACAATCGGGATCCCGCTTGCGTCCTTCTGTTCCGGTACAGCCAGGGGCGCATGTTGTCCATCTGGCACACGGACCACAACGGCGTGACACCCAAATGCGCTGTCAAGTTTGCCCTGACTTGCCGCTTTGAAGAAAGCGCGCTTGGACAGTGGCTCTACCTGACACACTGACATCGAGAGTGGGCGTGGTGTACGCTCCGTGGGGTGACGGGTGCAGCCCTTTGTAGTCGCTTGCACCGTGATAGCCTGACTTGGTCCTGAGGCAATGGCGCGAGCCGTGTATTCCACGTCGTTTTGGCAGATGCGGAACCGCGCGCACGGGTAACCTTGATGTGACTCATTGATCCGGAAGTAGTTCATGCTCTGGATGAGCGGGAGGCCTACATTGACTTCCACCCGCAGGTCACCGACAAGGAAGGTGTCCTTGGGCAATGCAACAGGCCTGCCCCCCTGGTCTGGCCATAGGCCCACTCTGAACGTGGAGACCTGGGTAGCCGTGGACGCATGTCCCTTGATGGCCATCTCCAATTCCAGTGGCCGTACCAGCCAGTCCGTTGGCAGGCGGAGACGGCTGACCACGTTACGGCTGACCATGTTTAACTGCGCACCGCAGTCGGCCAGCACACGGATGAACTTGCCGTTGAGGCGGCCGGGTAGCACAAAGGAAGGAGAGATCTTCAATTGTGCCTTAGGGCTAGCTGCCTGACTTGATCGGGTGCCCGCGCCAGTCGAGTGTGGAGGTTTGGGGCCATTTTGCGCTGGGAAGGAATGTGGCATCTCTACATTCCTAGGATAAAATCCGGTGTTGAGTCGTAGCTTTCCCCGTCACTACCGTGCATTTGGTCGTCCATCAGGAGCGCGGCAACATGTGCTCGGGTGAACTGGCCGTCCGGAGGTAGGCGGGGGCAGTCCCTTGCCCGGTGACCGATGTCATGGCAGTTGAAACACTTCCCCTTAAAGTTGGTGGATGCTGGTAATGACGCCTTGCGGGGTTGTTTTGCCTGCCAACCTGCCCCGGCGTAGTTGATCTCCGCCCCCGGGCATTTGTGGCTGCTGGCGCTACCCTCTTTGCCCTCCGCATCTTTGGGCACGGCTGCAGTCCCGGTGCGCAGGTTGCTGCAGGTGACCTGTGCGCACTTCAGCATTTGTAGTATGAACTTCATGCCCGTGACCTCCGGCGTCTGTATCTCGGAGAGCACGCTCATCTGGGTGACCGTCTGCTCGATTCGTCTCCCCAGTCAGTCGGGCGAGGAGCACAGACCGTTGGCGTACCATCTCTTCAAGTCGTCGACCGGTATCCTCACCTTGAGCGCGTTCAGCGTGCTGAGACATTCCATGTATTTGTTGTTGTGGACCATGATATTGCCCTGTGGACTCCCAGATGCCCACGGGCCCCCGGACTGATGCGAGGAAGTGTCTGTGGACAATATCGCTGGGAGAGGAGCGTTCCCCGGGGTCTGTTCGTGACGGTGTTTCTGTTATCGGGCGACGCACCGGCCCGTAGTTGGTATGTAAAAGATGTGCGTTATATTATGAAAGAGTTGGTTCGGGCGGCGGCCTTTAAGCCGCCACGGAGGGTTGGAGGCGGTGGCTGAGTAATGTACCTAAATCTAGCCTTCCTGCAGT